TAAATGCAATCGCAGCTCCGTTTCATGTTCCGTCACGTTTTACTTCCTTATTGGGGTTTAACAGCCGCAAGAAAGCCGAACGATCGCCTCGGGCGGGTTTGCAGCGGTGCGTGAAACCGAAAAGGCGACTATTGCCAATGGATCCCCGCGACGAACGAAAATAGCACGGGACATCGGAATATAGGGACCACGCGGATCACTATTATTAACGGGCCGAGCGCGATGATCGGGAGAAAAATGTTCGTTTGCCGAATCGATTTAGTTAGCACACGAAAATTAGAAGAATTCGATGAAATTTCGTAAACAAGGAAGCAATGAACAGTTTTAGCACCGACGTTTCAGAACATTAAGAAAGAGGAGTTAGTCACTATGATCTACGAAGTCAGACAATCCTTTCCGTACTGATTAAAGAGATGAATTGCAAAATAATTAGAGGTTCAATGAAAGCAGACTAATAAAATTAAAAATTACAATTGAAACAGACAGGATTTTTAACGCTGTGTCCGCTAAATCATAGAACTTTAATTCGTTTGTTTTATGCACTCGCTTGAAGAGCGTTCAAGTAACGCGTACCTTCGTTATAAATATTTATATATTTATCAGAGCATACTGTTTAACGCACCAGGTGCCGAGTAATTACTCCCGCGTTCGGTTAGGGTAAATTAAATTCGACAAAGACTGAGCGTGTTTGATTCATAGTAACGTTTCACTGAAAGTGGTACTACGTTATCATTAACTCCTATGAAACGTTTCAGATCGTTCTAAATTCCCATCATTCATATCTTCTTCCTTTCACGGTTTCTGATCTTATGCCATGTACCGTTTAATTGAGATCTGTTGCTTCGTTACTGGAATAAATAAATAAATACGACGAACGGTAGCTTGCAAGAGTTTTTACAATAATTTGTATAAGATTGAACACGTCTGCGATAGCTAAGAATTAAAATGTTCAGTAATTTCTGGAACCAATGGTTTCACCAATTTCATAATTACGCCACGCTCACGTGGCCGTGGAATTTCACGTTTGCCTGACAACGAACGTGCCGAGTAAACAATGTTATGGCGACTAATAAAGATTAGGAACGGTGCGCATGAAAATCGCGGGGTATAAACACGAAATAATTGACGGAGGCGAAGTTTGCGCGTGCCCGTTCGTGGGAAAAACTCGATATTAAATATCGATTAACCACTCAAGAGTCGCGGGCGACCGTTTATCGACGAGATACCGGTGCCGGTCGTTTTCACGCTCGACCGGCCGCGAAAGAACCGCGGACAACAATGTAAGGACACCGAATGAATCGAGCGTTAAGTACTTAAAGCCGACGTTTTTACATTCCCCGCCGCCATTTTCATAAAAACATGTGCAAATTCTTGAGATTTATATCGATATCTTTCGAAGTATCTTGAACAAGGAATCCAGCAGACAGATTGATGATTATTGATTAACAATAATCAATCAATCGACTATTACTAAGAACTATGCAAAATATTCCTCGAATATATTCTCAACGAACAAACATTGATTATTAGTAAATTTTACGAAGCCTAAAGAACGCTTTTCCTTTGAACGAGAATGGCAAGAGGAATTCAAGGTTACCAACTATTTCTCAAGCTCAACTGTATACAGTGTCGGAATGTAGCCTACATTCTAACGAATTTAATAGTCAAGGTTGGTCAAGGCCGACGTCAAGTATTTCTCGACGCTCTCGCCAGAGTTTTGAAAATTGGTAATTGTCTCGATTATTATGTTTGAATCATTGTACGTATTACGTATTATTGTATAATATACCGGCACGATAAAATCGAGCCGTGTTCCCATTAATGTTACCAGTTTTCGAATGACAGTAACAAAGTTTTGATTCAGATGTGTCGACGACGATAGCGAACGGAAACGGAAACGTTCCCGGGAATAGCATCTCGCCACCCGTTTCTACACACGTACATCGACTTTATTCCTTTTCGGTTGATTTGTTATCGCGTGGAACGCCTGATACGAGCAAAACAATGGTTCGATTTGATTCCGAACCGGGGAACAGTGTCCCCAGTGTTCGTTTCTCGGAACCGTAACGCGCCGATTCGCGGAATTTCAGAAGAGTCGCGCGTGAACGATGCGAATTCAACCTACTTCGCAGAGAAGCAAAAACACTTTCACATTTATTATTCATTATCACACATTTTACCAGTAAGAATGATAGAAATATAACGGTTGACGCGATTAGAAATCAACTTTTGTAATCGTCGAGTGCACGATAACGATTTATTCGAATTTCTTCTAATCAATTACAACGTCGATAAACGAAACTAATCGAAATTTCAAAAAGAAGCATCCTGTATTAGCCTTTTTTAAAAATCTTCCTTTCAAACCGAAGAAACGCGTGAATTCAGACACTCGACACCTTTGAGCACCACTGAACATGCCACGTGACAACTACCATGGCGGTTCTCCGCGAAACTATTGGCCAATCGCAAATGATATTCCTTATACTCTTTACAAACGCGATTCGTCAAATTCATGAACATTATTTCAATGAAATTATAATGTACCGATGTTATAATCAACTCAAAGAAGAAAAAAGATATACCATAATGGTCGTGGTTCCAGGCAGTACCGATTCGAGGAAAGTCGTTAGATGCTCGGTGTCTCGCAGTTATTATTATCATTATTATTATTATTATTTACGATATGCATTAAGATCCGCGTGTTCCCTCCACGGTGGTAAAGAATTAACGAATATTCGCGACGTTCCGTTTCGTTGCGCGACGCAATCCCGCCGGATCAATCCGTTCTTATTTCGCTATCCGAGGGACGTTAAACGACCGATGATTTATGCGCCGCCGACACCCGTATATCTTGTTTTCTATTATTCGACGGTTTCCTCTTTCATTTTCGCAGGTACATACTGCGCGAGATGCGACAGGAGTTTCCCACCGTAATGGCTAACGTGCACTACACGGTGCTGAAGAAGAAATGGTCAAACCTGTTGCAGCAGTACAAAGTGAGACGCGCCAGATGCCTTTTATTACCGTCGCGATTGCTCGATTATCTGCCCGCGCGTTAGTTTGCTTTGACCCGTCTTCCGTTTGTGTTCCCTCCTACGGGAAGGATAATAAACGCGCCTCCCCCGTTTCACCGTGCGATAGGCGTTCCCCCGTACACCCTATTTCCTACCCTCGAGGGAGCAGATATTCTCATGGGACGAGAATCGCGGTCGTTCAGGAGTTTCTCTGGAAAATTTCGTTTCTTTTTCTTTCACCGTTGAAACTAACACCGTTTTTCTTTGCTCCGTGGAAAGGGTTCAGCGTTGAAGGGGTTAACGCGTTCGGAACGGACTCGAAGTGTGGTTCGCGAAGCGACCGAATCCTGATATCTTAGTTTAAGACGATACTGTAGTTTCCAAAGCAATACCGTGGCACCCAAAGCGCCCACAGGATTCACTGCTGCTGACTACACCAGCCGTCCGTCTCGAATGTGTTAAAGTAGAATCGAAAACGCGAGGCACGCGAGGAACGCGCGTCGGGCATGGAGACTCGCCTTCAGCTCTGTCCTGTTACTATGCATCTGCCACAGCGATCTGTTGAAGGAACTGAGGAACCCGGTACACGGAGACAGGAACAAGGCGGACGACGTATCCTGGCCGTTTTACAGCGCGATCGACGAGCTCCTGGGCGGAGGGCACGGCGACCGGGGAACGCCGAGCCACGACGAGTACATCGATCCCCACGAATTCCTCTGCGTATCCGTGACACCGGAAGAGCCCACTTCCTCCTCGATGGACGCGACGCCACTCGAACCCAATCCGGAAACCGAACGCCGAGGAAACAACTTCCAACCTGAACCCGGGATAAGGACATTCGGCGGCGATGGATGCTCGATCGAGATCGAGAGAATACCGGCGAACGAGGCTGCCAGGTTCGAAAATCATTGTTACAGAAATTAATCCTTTGCAGTCGGAAGCTTTTCATTAGAAACATTCGACACTTTCCGATGAAAGGCGACGCTATTCGAAACGAACTAATGAGAAAACATACGTCAATTAAGGAACGAAGCTATTTTGTATAAATATTTCGCATATTGATGCACTATACAAAACTTAATATTATATATAACACTTTGTAATTTTGTTATATAAAATCAAATGGTGACTGCGAGTCACCTCTCGAGTGCAAAGGGTCAAAAACCTGGGCTAGAGACCTAGGAATCCTTAAAAGTCTTAAGTCTTACATCGAGCTTACAATTAGATAACTGAATCCATAGAATTCTAGATTTAGAGGATTCAAAGATCTCAGTCTCGTATCCTTGAGTTCTCACTCAAATGGATTGTTTAAGTTTGGTAAAGATTGTGAAGCTTTTCTATGCATCAATGAATCTGAATAATCTCGATCTAGATAAACCGGTCGCCAAAGTTTCTTGCGCGACGATCCACCTTCCTTCCATCGTATCGTTCACTTGGAGCACTATATTTTTCATTTATTTTGATACTGTTATTGATTACTGTTGACGAGATGTCGGTCATGCAGCGAGACACGTTCTGTTCGCAGGCAAACCGGCAAAAATCAGGGCCGAAGGAAGCGCGAGCCTAGCGCCGCGTCGAGCATCCCGCGGCTACCACGTGCCACGGAGCTCACGATCAAGAAAGTTACGTCGGAGGCGGACTGTTCCAAGGACTTGTCGAGGGTACGAGGAAACGACGCGGTCGATTCCACCAGAGACAAGGGCCGGCTGGCCGAGCCGCGTAACGAGGATGAGGAAAGGCCGAGAAAGTCGAGGCGAACGCAAGCCCCGTATCATCGGGATGATCACGAGTCACGGACCGATCGCCGTATCGAGCAGATCTTCGAGTACATTAAACGACGGGACGAGGAGAATAGATCCATCATGATCCGTGTGATGCACGCGGTCGAAACAATCGCCAATAAATTATGACGCTGTTGAATTATACGCTTGA